TTTTTCAAATCCTGAATACGTGAGAAAAACAGAGGCTAAAGAAATATGCACAGCCAGTCTGGGATCAATGTTTTTGAGAAGATTTTTTACAAATAGAGTCATCCATCAGTATCCCAGAAAATTGCCCTCTGTCTGTGTAGTCTTGCTACAGCATCAAGAGAATTGGTTCTAAGGTCGCCTTTGGACACCTAAATCCAGGAATTTGTTCAAGTCCCTTATATAAAATGGTGTGGCATTTGCATGTAACCTATGCACATCCTCCTGTATATTTCAAATCACCTCTAGATTGCTTCCAGTACCTGACACTATGCGAATAATTGCTGTGCAATGTTTCGGGAATAACGATGAGAGAACAGTCAGTACATGTTGAATACTGATGCCCTATGCCGGGCCTAATGGTATAGAACATAAATAGGACACAGCAGGCTGGGGGAGTGGCTCAAATGGTAGAGTGCTTGCCTAGTAAGCACAAGGCTCTGAGTTCAAACCCCAATACTTCCAATCAGTCAATCAATCAATCATATAAGTACCGCGCGCTAACCAATTGCACCACTGGAGCTCCTCAATCAATCAATCAAACCATAAAATCTGGAAACAATGCTCAAGCACTGAATGCTGGAGAGAGAGAGGATGGCCGGGGCAACAGCAGGGTCTGTCCACACATTGCTTCCATTTGCATGGAGTCGGTATAGTGGTTGGCGTGTGGCAAACTGAAACTTTGCTTTTTGGAACTTTCTGGAATTTTTTTCCAAATATTTTCCATCTGAGTTTGGCTGAATTTCAGATACAGAACCCACAGATGTAGAGGACTAAGTGCATAGCACTCTCATCCAGCTCCTCGGCCATTGCTGTCCTCCCCCATAATTTTCATTGCCATTCTTAGAAGGAAAAACTGCTTGCAACAATCAACATACAAGCATGAAAATGCGTTTTCAGATTGGTTTCAGTGGAGGAAGTTGAAGAATTGGATTTGCACCTGATGGGGTTGAGGAAGCTGTAGGTAGAATAGAGGCTGGAACGTGTGAGCAAAAACGAACACCTGCGTGGGTCCAGGCTGTGCTGTAGCCACAAGCAGCTGCAAAGTCACTGCAGCTAAACAGTACACATCTGTCACTTGCTCACACCATGTCTGCTGCAGGCCTGAAAGCTGTGGGGGGCAAATTTCCTATCCAAACTTTCCCGTCTCGTGGGCCATCTGTCTTTGTGGAGGGCACATCTCCCCACTTCTGGTGCTTCCTTCTGTGGGGACAGAGCCCCACTGGGGGATTGCTCCACGCCTTTGCAGATATGATGGATGAACATGGAAGGAGACACAAGCAGGTGTCACCCAGACCCTTTGCTTCCCTTTCCCACTGCCAAGTGTGGGCTTAGCTTTGCTGTGTCTGCCAGGACTGAGTGTTCTGGGGTCAGAGGCTACGGTTGCCATCACTGACAATGACTGCAAACAGTCTGCTTAACTGCGGTTCAGTATAAAAAAAGCCTATATTCCTATAGCTTTTTTTCCTATACCAAAACCTTTTTTTTTCCTATACCAAAACCTTGTCTCTACTCCTGCACAGTGTAGAGCCTGCTTACATGTACAGTGGATTTGTTCTTGGTCTAAGGCGGTGGTTCTCAATCCACTAAATGTGGCTCCCGTGGGGATTTTTGGCAAAGTCTGGAAACATTTGATTGTCACATCTGAGGAAGGAGAGACTCCTATGGTAGGCAGAGGCCACAGATACTGCTAAATGTCCTGTGATGCACAGGATTGCCCCACAACAAAGAATTATCCGTCCAAAGTGTCCATAGCACTGAAGTCTAGAAATCCTAACAAGTTGCCATCTTAGCCCCACTAAGGTGGCTTAGTCTGTTAGCCAGCTTCTGTTGCTGTGACAGAATACTTGATATAAACAACCTAAAAGGAGAAATGTTACTTGCTCACCATCTCAGAGGCTTCAGCCCATGGTCACTTGGCTCCCTCGTTTCTGAGCCTGTGCTGAGCCCGAGCAGAGAACACACAGAGCAGATCTGCTCACCTCATGGTGGACAGGAAACAAAGCCAGCTGCAGGAAGGGGACAGGAACAAGGCAAGTCTTCACAGGGCATGCCTCCAGCACCCTGCTTCCTCCAACCAGGCCCCAACCTCCTACTAGTCCAGTCAGTGGTCTGACTCACTGATGAAGCTAGCACCCTCACGATCCACTCACCCCTCAACAGCGCCATCAGCTGGGGACCAAGCCTTCAACACATGAGCCTTTGAGGGGACTCTTCATATCTAAACTGTAACATAGTTCAAACAAGTTCAAACCCCAGAGAATCTGGACCAGGGTGACCACTAAAGATCAAGCAGTGAGGTCTCCTCATCCCAGCCATTGCATCTCTAGGCACATGGAGCCCTTCATGGGCATGCAATGAAGTTGACAGGAGCAGGAGTCTTTTTGGCCTCCTGTACCCCCCATCCTCAGTGCAGTGATAACGAGCCACCCCCCCCCTCAGTGCTCTGTGTGGAAGCAGGTCACAAGTGTCCTCTCCCCTCAGGTCCCTAAACCCACCAGAGGGTCTACCCATTGGCTCCCATCAGCCTCAGGGTGTGGTCCGAGCGTAGAAGCAGATGCAGGGCACACTGGCACCCCACACACCCTTCTCTCTAATGTTCTCCACACCTGGCCCAGAGGACCTGATTATCTGTGGGGTTTGTTTGTTTGTTTGTTTGTTGCTTTTGGCAGTACTGGGATTTGAACTCATGGTTTCACACTTGTGCCACTCCACCAACCCCCAGGATCTTTTTTAAATGGAGCCCTCCAGCCCAGTTCCTTCCTGTGCTAGGTGTGGAGCTGGCAGAGTGGACAGGAAGGACCTTCAGATATAAAGGAAGGGAGCAAGGATGACTCACAGCAGAACCATCATCCGTTCATATAAATAAGAATTTGATCACACCTCCTGTTGTCCCCTGAAATGACAATCATAAATAATATGTCTTCTCACATGCTTAATTTCTTTAAATCACAATATAATGCCCTAGATGAACTAGAAAGGAAAAATAAAAGGAAAACAATCTATTACCAAAGAGCACATATTTCAAAATGTCACTGCTTAGGCCCAGACACAAGAAACCATAATGAAGGAGCAGAGTCTTGCCCTGCTATAATGAGTAAGTCAGGCTTTAAGAAATGTATTAGACTAGAAATTATCCTGCATAAGGGCAAAATAAATAAATAAATGAAAGAGCAGAGATAAGCTATGTAACACTAGAAAACAGATGAATTTACTCTCCGGATATTTTTTAACTGCAAAAACCAATTACCTTTTTTAGTGTATGTATAAAATGGAGATCAGGTAACAGGGTTTCCAAGACATGATGACCCGTTCATTAAGGCATCAGTACCTGCCAATCACTGTGAGAGCAAAACACTTCCCCTGCCATAGCCTGCAGCCAGTAGCTCACACCTGTAATCCCCACCACTCAGGGGACAGAGATCAGGAGGATCACTGTTCCAAGTCAGCCTGGGCAAATAGTTCACGAGACCTATCTAAAAAAACAAAAAAAAAATCACAAAAAAACAAAAAAGGGCTGGTGGAGTGGCTTAAGATGTAGGCCCGGAGTTCAAACCTCAGCATTGCAAAAAAAAAAATGTCCCCTTGCATTGCCAGAACTATAACCACACAAGCACAACCTCCCTTGCCAGAGAGAGTCACTCAGTTAACGCTTCAAATATTAACATGCCAAGTGGAAAGAAAGATGCCAAAATATTAACAGTAAGGCAGAAGGGGAATTATAGAAAACATTCTATAATTTTTTTTCCTTACATTTCCATATTGTGTAAAATTTTGCTTACAACCTGTATGAGTTTTGCAATCAGAAAAAATATAACAGCTGTTTTGGAAAACAGTGTGAGAGCTCCCCCGAGTGTGCGTGTTGTTCTTTTTAAGCAGAATTCAAATCTGTAGCTAGTATCCTTATCTCAACTAGCAAAAACCCTTGTTCCTTCCTATTATTGCTTATACTCTCTCTACAACAAAATTAGAAATAAGGGCAAAATAGTTTCTGCCGGGTAGTGAGGGGGTCGGGGGAAGAGGGAGGAGGCAGGGTGGGTGGTAAGGGAGGGGGTGGGAGGAGGGGGGAGAAATGACCCAAACATTGTATGCACATATGAATAAAAAAAAATCTGCGGCTAGTTCAGGTTCAATTTAGCCCAGCTTACACCGCCGCCCTATGGCCAAGGGCGGTACTGCGTCCCTAGAGGATTCAAGCTCTACCTTTTGCCACTTGGCAATCTGAAGTTTATGGACCACTCTCTCAAAATAATGGCTCAGACATAAATAAAATAAAATACGTATGTTTACAATAAGACAAAAATAGTTGTAACTGTGCACTATAGCAATAAACATACTTCCTTATTAAGTGCTTTTTTTTTTTTGCGAACTGGAGTTTGAACTCAGGGTCTACACCTTGAGCCACTCCACCAGCCCTTTTTTGTGATGGGTTTTTTCGAGATAAGGACTCGCAAACTTTTTGCCCTCAAACCACAATCTTGCTGATCTCTGCCTCCTGAATAGCTAGGATTATAGGCATGAGCCAGCGGGGCCTGCTTATTAATTGCTCTAATAGCCATCTCCTGTGGCAGCTCTAAGAACTAGTAAGTTTCCAAGCAGTTAGGAATAGAATAACATTTCTGGATGTGCCGGGGTCTGTGATTCTCTTTTTAATATCAGTTACCGTTCTGTTAATACTACACTTCTAATAAAAGAAAAAGCTAAACATTTTAATTTTTTTTCCCACCCAAGACCACAGGGTGTCTGGACCACAGTTAAGAGCCTGTGAAGGGCAGAAGTTTGGAGAAGCACTTGCTTGTGTGGGTTTGCAGGCTGGGAAAGTCAGTCACAGGTTTGGTGTGGGAGGCTAAGGAAGGGGTTGAGGCACCTCCCAGACTGGACTTACAGAAGGGTGACGCGCGTGCCCCTCCCCTCCCTTCCTAGACCTGATCTGGTGCTTCTGCAGGAAGCTACAGCCCGCCAAGTCCCAGAGAGGAGCTCACAGCTGCTGGACTCTGCTCCACGGTGTTCAGACCCACCATGTGGCCTTTGGTCCTGCTGTGGGGCTGCCTGGTGCTCCCAGGTGAGGAGGGAGCAGGCGGTGGGAGGGTCACAGGGCTCTTGCCTCAGTCCACCCATGGGGTCTGCAGAGAGGACCTCTCTCCTGAGCTAACATTGTGTTTCGCCCATAACATGAGCGCCTCATGCTTCCATACTCCACTCCAGCCCACCAATCCTCACAGTTTCTGGACTCAGAACCAGTGTCTTCCCAGACCCATGGCCTCCAGCCCCTGCGTAGCCGTAAGAGGAGTGTGGTCTTTCTGATCTCACTTCCCTGCTATTGCTCTGTGCCCAGCCTGGAGACAGAGAAGACATCCCTGTCTGGCTGCTCTGTTAAACCCAGCAGACATTTGATGACTCTCTATTCACAGGCTTGCTTTTCTGTTTTTGGTTGAGTTTGGTTTGGTTTTTGGTGTGTGTGTGTGTGTGTGTGTGTGTGTGTGTGTGTGTGTGTGTGTGTGATGGAACCCAGGGCTTTGCACCTGCTAGGCAAACACTCTATCACTGAGCTACATCCCAGTTCTTAACATCTAAAATCCAGATGCATCTTTGAACTACTGTTAATTGTTCAGTTGGCAGTGTTTTTCCCTAGTGGTATATAAAATTATGGAGTGGTGTACCTATGGTAGCCTCTTAAATGCAATGAAACAGAATATTATCATCTATAAATAAGAAAACTCAGAGGCCCAGACAGGTCAAGCAACTTTCCCAAGGTGGCACAGCTACTAAATAATAATGCTGGGGCTAAAACTTCCAGCTATCTGAATGTAGAGTCCCAACCCCACCCCAATATGCGAGATTTGGGGAGAGAGCAACAGCCCAGCCCCCAAGGTTCCCCCAAGGAGGAAAGAATACTGGTTCTTACCAGGCCGCCCCAGAAGGGCGGACAGGAAAGCCTTTCTTCCTCCTTATAAAAATGGAAACTGTGGATCTTGACCCTGGTGCTTGCTTGGATCTGGGGAACTCCCACCTCCATTTCTGCTGTGGTTTCAGGTTATGACGCCCTGAAGGGCCCCAAGGAGATCAGCGGCCACGAAGGTGAAACGGTCTCGGTGAAGTGTACCTATGGGGAGGAGCTGAGGAAGCACATGAAGTACTGGTGCAGGCAGGGCGGGATCCTGTTCTCACGCTGCACTGGCACCATCTACACAAAAGGCGACCAGGAGGTGACGCAGGGTAGGGTGTCCATCCGTGACAGTCCCCAAGAGCTGGCGCTCACCGTGACCATGAGGCACCTCACCCTACAGGACGCCGGGAAGTACTGGTGTGGGGTCAACATGCTGGGTCTCGATGAAACGTCTCTGATCTCTCTGATAGTTTTTCCAGGTGACAAATGTCTCTCCTTCTCCTGCCTGGGGCACAGGAGACAAGAGGGGAAGAAAGAGGGATACCAGGATATCATCCATGGATCCAGTTCCCCCCACACCTTCCCACCTCACAGGCATCTCGAGGACTCGTGAAGTCACTGGGGTCAGGAACTGAGCAATGTTGGGGCTGCAGTAGTGAGTGCCAGCTGGATCTCAGCTGCTCTTTCACTCTTGCTGCCCAAGTCACAGCACTAGCACATGGCCGAGCAGGATGGAACGCAGTTAGGGACGAGACAGACAGCTAAGGGAATAAGAAGACACACAGACACACACACACACACACACACACACACACAGGGACCAAGATATTCCTCAGGTCTTCTGAGGTTGAGTCAGCCATTGCTGACTCCCAGTCCCAGCTAACAGTGTCACTGACACCATGGCCGTGCTGGCCTCGCCCTCAGCACCCTCTCTTGGCTTCCTCTTCCCCAAATCTTGCAGTCCAGGGTCAGGTGCTAGGGGTGCCTGGGAACTAGGTAGGGTGCCTGAAAGAGGGGCCTCTTAAGCTGGGGGGGAGGGCACTTGGGCAGCTGGAGTCACTAGGATGAAGCAACTACTGGGTACTGGAAATCCCACCTGGACTTGCAGAGCTAAGCAAAAAGAAGCCAGAAAAGGCCCAGGGCAGAGGGCAGCCAGGTCTGCCTGTCAGTGTGAGAGCAAGGGAGGTCTTCATATCCCCATTTCACAGATGGGGCACTGAGGCTCCAAGACACTCAGTGATTTGCCCGATGTAGGAGGTGGTAGAATCAAGAGTCAAACACAGGTCATTGTCAGCTTTCGTTCTGTTGTTTCCCTGTCTCAAGCCCAGGCCCATCCTTCCAACCATGAATCTCTGTCATCCATGGCTCTCGGGGAAATGAAGTTAAGCTCACTGAATAATAACAGCAGTATCAAAACCACACTGATAAGACTAAGGCTACAGCTCAGTGATAGAGCAGTTACCTAGCACATGGGAGGCTCTGGGTTCCATCCCCAAAACTGGAAAAAAGAAAGTGAACCTGTTCTCTATTATTTACAACAATATTCTCCCATCTCTTCCAATTCTTTTCAGTATTCAGACCTCGTCTTTACCTAGTTGTGACAAATTTTACCTATATTTGGGTTCTCCTGTGTTTGATACTTATCTTCATTTATATAGTCACTTATCTATGTGTGATACACGTGTTAGCCTCCTGAATCTGACCTTGCTGCCTCTCTCTGATGACAGTCAGGATATTGAAGATGAAGGCTGATGGCAGTGCTGTGCTGGTAGATGTCTAACAGCAGATTGGACACTGACTTGTAGTGTTTGCCTATTTCCCTGGTGTAAATGCTACTGCCTGGCCATTTTCTAGCCACAAATGGTTTAACAACCTGTTCAGCACTGGGCACAGAGGACAGACCATTTGTTCTGGAGGAGGCTGCCCCTGTGGGCAACCCAGCAGAGAAGTAATTTCGGTGTAATTGAGTATTTGCTCCCCTGGAGGTGAACGCAAAGGAAAAGGGGTTGTCTGCCCTCCGTATCACGGGGGAGTTGACTTTTAAAGGACAGAAAGAAGTGTGTCAGGAGAGATGGAAAGGAAAGGCATTGCAGGCAGAGGAACGACATGTCAGACACAGCAAAGGGCAGGAGGTACCTGTCATCAGGACTAGATGGCAACTCTGGCTGGGGCACTGTGTGGGGAAGGAGGGATGCTGACAAACTGGTTTGCAGTCTGAGTTTCAAAAACCATGAAAGCATGTTCCAGATGTTGAAATTTACCTCACGTATGATGGAGCCAATGACTGTTCTAAAATGAGGTGTGATAGGGTCCATGTGTGTCTTAGAAAGAAAAAACATAAATGCCAAGGGTGGCATGGAAAGAGCAGACAGATGGGCAGTTGAGGGCCAAAGGTCTGAGGTCCAAGGTAGCAGGAAACCAAAGGGACTGCAGGTAGGATGGATAGACCCAGGATCAGCTGGAATCTGCCAGCCATGACATCTGACTAGCTGGGAAGAGAATAGAACAATGCAGAGGTGGAGGACAGAAGGCTGCCCATGGCTGCCAAGGAAGGACACGTGGTTGTCCCCGTGGCTCATACCTCCCCTGAGAACAACCTTTCCATTTCCTATAGGAAAAAACGACAGTGCCAATACCACTGGTCCCTGCTGCCTTCCCTCCCCTACTCCCTCCTTCCAGCCTTTTACTACTACAAGGAGCCTGCAGCCCAAGGCAAAATCTTGGCACACTGAGCTCCCAGAATTGAGTGAGTGACTGACTTTTCTGTCTCTCCTCCTCCCCTACTTCAGGAAACATCCAGTGAGTGCCTACTGGCACCAGACACAAGGCCCTATTTCCACTGAGCTGTATCACCAGCCAGGTGACCCCAGCAAGCCTGGGAGTCACACTGCCCAGCTGAGGAAGTAAAACCTAGGGAGTTAGGGTACTGCCTGCTCCATCCAGGGTGTGGGAGTGAGCCGGAAAAGGCTGGCCTTAGGCCCTGACCTCTGGACTCATGTCTGCCGCCCTGCCTTGCCGAGACTCCAGGCTGTTGAAAGAGGTCAAGGCCTTACTTAGGCATAGGTGATGGTGACAGAAGTTGCCCTTCCACTGAGAGAGGAAGGGACAACCGATCAGAACTGGGGGCGGGAGGGGAGCAAGGTGGTTCTAAATTGGGTCTTGGAGGTGGGGACAAGAATGTGACAAGCTGTGGGCACAAAAAGAGGCTGGAAACTACACAGATAAGCCCTATCGGTGGTCTCCTTACTCAAAACGGCTTCCTCAGGCCTCTATTTGTTTATAGGGGTGTATTTTAGTTGAGGCTGTTCTGAGAAATTGGTCCCAGGGACGCTAAAATTGAGAGACCAAGGGTGAGTCTGGGGAGGCTGGGGCTCAACAGTCAGGGGAGGTGTTGAGGTATTCCTTTTGGACTTGTAGCTTCTTCTGATCTCCACACGACAATCACCACAGCCAAGCAGGGGAAGACAGGGACCAAGGCCCCTCTGTCCACAGGGGTGGCCCCCAAACGTCCTGCAGGAACCTCTGCCCACAAAGGAATCTCTCCATATACAGAGACCTCTCCTCACACAACGAACTCTCCCCATGCAGGGAGCTTCCGCCCAGCCATCCAGCTGGACTCCACCATAACAGAGGACACCAGTCCTGTCCCCAGCAGTGGCAGCTCCAAGCCCAGGTGAGTCCAAATGAACAAGGTCACCCTTAACCATTAATAAATCATAAGATGCCTTTGAGCCAGTAAGACCGTTTCCTCCAAACAGACACAGTTTTTGTCATGGTCTCAGCCTTCAGCAGAGAGGGCAGGTTTCAGCCCCACCCTCCTACAGGGGTCTTTGAGCAGTGCACATCCTACACTACAGGAGTCCTGTTGCCCTGGACACACAGGCCTACCTGAGGTGAAGGGCCCATCCTGACCCCAGAACCCACCTTTCTCCCTGCCCCAGCCACATGATCAGCACCCCAGTTCTGTAGCGTTTGCTTATATACTGGGCACTGAGCTTAATGCCATGTGTGAGAATATGGAAACTTCCTTCCCTCCACACATTTTTCTCTACCCACTGGAGTCCCAGACTGAAGGAGGGGTCCTGGAGTTACAGTTGCCCTCGGTTCCTGACATGCTACCAGGTTCAGATCTGGCTCCAAGTATCTCATGGGATTGGCAATGGGGCCCAGGGGTCCTTGCCACCCCAAACAGAGCGCACACCAATGGGCTGACTGAGGCTGTGGTCCCGGATGCCCTCTGATCTCCTTGGGAGACCACTCAGAATCAGAATGCCCTGCCAGTGACATGGACCCAGAGACAGGACAGTGGCGCCTCCCCACATCCAGCAAGTCCTTGCATTTCTTTAAGTGACAGCTTCTCCTGTGTGTGAAATTGGCCCCTCCTATTTAGTGACACAGGAGTTTAACATTAACACACTTCCTGATGTGTCAGGAGCTGTTCTAAACCTTTTACACATCCCAACTCATTTGGTCCTCATGACACTGCTTTACAAAGGACAAAATTGGCACCTGGGAAATTAAGTCACTTGCCCAAGGTCACCTGATCAGAAAGTGGCAGAGCCAGAGTTTGAGCCCAGGCAGCCTGGCCTCTGGGTTTGTCAAGGGCCAATGGCAGGACATGCCCTGCCAGTCTTTGTCATCTTGAATTGAATTTCATACTAGAGGTTGGTTTACTCAGTAAATGCCCCAAGCACTTAGATAGCTTATCTGGTGACAGCCCCCAGGCTCCTTCTGTCTCCCCCAGGGTGTCCATCCCACTGGTCCGAATGTTGACCCCAGTCCTGGTGCTCTTGTCCCTTCTGCTGGCCACATGTCTGATTGCCCTCGGCAGCCACATGCTCCGGAGGAAAAAGAAAGGTGAGCCAGGTGGGTAGGAGGAGGGCGGAGGCTCACAGAGACCTGCGGGCCTCCATGTGTCTATCTGAGATATGGGCATTCCAGCCCTGCCACTCCCTTCTGAGGGAACCACAAGGCAGTCAACATTACAATAAGCAACTCTAACAGGAAGTGGGAGAATGAGGGGCTCTCAGCTTCCTCCTGTCTGTCCAAGCCCATCAGTCACTTCTGTGTCTGTTCCAGCATGTCCATGTCCTATCCACAGGCCCAGCTCCTTGCATAGGGATTGGCCAGGGACAATGTATCCGAGCCTGAGCAAGATAGACACTGTAATTCTACACCCTGCTGAGTCTCTAGAGGTTCTCAGTCCCTTTCATAGGCTTGGGTTCAAATCCCAATTCTGCCACATTTTAGCTGTGTGGCCTCACACAATGCACCTAACTACTGTGAGCCTCAGTTTCCTCAAATGACAGATATATGTCAACAGAAATACAGGTCATACCTGTAATTTAAAGCTTTATAGTAGTCACATGAAAAAAGTAAAAACCAGTGAAGTTAATTTTAATAATATATTTTATTTAGCTTAGCGTATCCAAAGTGTTATCAGTTCAACATGAAATCAGTATTACAATACTAAGGAAAGCTGGATATGGTGGCACGTGCCTCTGATCCCAGCTTCTTGGGAGACTGAGGCAGGAGAATTGCTTGAGCTCAGGAGTTTGAGAACCAGTCTAGGCAGCATAGTGAGACACTGTCTCAAAACAACCCAAAAAAAGTAATCCTACATCCATCTTTTCATGTTGATTTTGGAACCTGCTATTAGTTGTATTTGGGGGGAGCATTGTTTGGGTTTTGTTTTTTTGAGACAGGGTGTCCCTGTGTAGCTTAAGGCTAGCCTCAAACCCTCAATCCTCCAGCCTATACCTCCCGAGGGCTGAGATTACAGGCATGAGTTACCATACCTGCTACCTGGTAGTACTTGAAGTAATCACATTCCAGGGCTCAATAGCCATTTATGTGGTTCATGGCTCCTATGCTGGATGGCACAATACAAGAGAATTAAGGGGAAAAATGGTAATAAGAGGTACCACGTGCCAAGCACAGCTCAGTAGCTTACAGCACTTATCTTCTTTAACTTCCTTAGCACTACGGAGTGCCCCCATTTTAGGGAGGAGGAAACTGAGGTAACAGAGTGGTTTGTAGAGATAGGAAGTGGTACAGCCAGGAAGATGTCTGCAGCGGCATCCCAGGGAAGGTGACCCTGAGGGTGTCCTGGACCTGCTTCCTGTCCCCTCCCTGTGTGACACCCCCTCCCGGAAGAAATCTTGGCTTTGCCCACATCTCCAGATCCCCTTAGAGGAGTCCAGGAGGGAACACACAGGATGGGAGCACTCCTGTCACAACCTCAGAGCCACTTAGCACACCACCTCTTAAATTTTGGTCCCCAGCTAGCAGCAGTGGTATCTGCTATAGCCTGCTGGAAATGCAGTCTCAGGCCGCACCCCCAACCTGTTGAATCAGAATCTGCATTTAAGAAAACATCCAGCGGTCCTTGTGTTAATCAACTTTCCCTTGCTCTAACAAATACTTGAGACAGTCAATTTATACAGAGAAAAGGTTCATTTTGGCTCATACTTTTGGAGGTTTCAGTCCATGATCACTTTACCCTGTTCCTTTGGGCCTGTGGTAAGGCAGTACACCATGGTGGGAGCAAAACCATTCACTTCCTGGCCAGGAAGCAAATGAAATGAGGAGGGGACTGGGCACCTCCACTTCCCAATAGCACTAAACTGGTGGACTCAAGTCTCCACTACATGATCCCTTGTAGGACACTTAAAATCCAAGCTACAAACTGGGTGCGGTGATACACAACTGAAATTCCCAGCACTCAGGAGGCTGAGGAAGGAGGATCATGAGTTCAAGGCCAGCCTAGGCTGCATATCAAGATCCTGTTTCAAAATCCAGCAAACAACAAAAAAACATTAAGGTCTGAGAAGCAATGACCTTCACACACAGACTAGTTCTTCAGCTGCTTTCTAGCTCATGGGAGACGACTTGATCTCCAAAGGCCAGCTTCTTCCCTAGGCGCTAGGAAGAAAGGGGCTCCTGTTGCATCTGCTGGGAGGTTGATGCTAGCAGGTATGGGAGCAGCTTAGGCCACTCCTGGTTGCTCCTAGCCTCAGAGTGCTCCTTCTGCGTCTCTTTTAGCTCAGCTGGCCATGGGAACACAGAGGAACGAGAAGGTCCACCTCCCAGCCTCGGTAAGGACGCGGTGACTGAAACCCAAGCTCAACCCCACAGGATGGAGGTTGGACTCGTGGGCCTTGCCTGGTCCTCCATATGTGACTCAGAGGCAGGGGTCTGAGATGACCTTTCAGGGTGTGAGCTGGACAGAGTGCCCATCAACACCCCTAAATCCTATCAAATGCCAGGCAGGAGCCACACTGAGTACCTGTCCCCCAGGCCCGGCACCTCTTCCCATCCCATGTAGAATCAGAGGACATCCGCACTGGGTCCAGCGGAAGCCTTTTGAGACCACCTGGTCCAGCCTTCCTCTAAGTTCACGGCAAATCCCTCTCACCTGCCGTAGCTGGGGGTCAGGAAACCATTAAAAATGTCCTCTCTCCCACATTCCAGTCCCAACAGATCCCTCAGAACCCCCGCTGGGAACTCTGACAGTACACCAGAGTGTGACAAATATGGATTTACAAAAGAAGAAACTGAGGCATAAAGGTGTTGCTCAAGGTCATGCAGCAGACCATGGCCCAAGTGGACAGTGGGACACAGATTTCCTAGCCCCGTCTCTCCTCTTTCCAGAACATTCGATGTTTTTTCTGAGCCTTCCTTGGCTCTGGGACCACCCTGGCATGGCTCCCTTGGATCCACACTGAGGGTGGTGCTCTAAGAATGGGGGCAGAGGGAATGGGGGTCCATGTGGCCATCTTCCAGCGAGGGGAACCTGCCCTAGGCTGCCTGCCCTAGGACCCTTCCCTGACCTCTGCAGGAACAGAGGTGCTGTGCCAGGCCAGCCCTTCCATGGAGGCTGAAGAATCTGCTTCAGGAAACAGAAGCCCCACCTGCCTCGCCCCACGCCCTCCCCTCAAGCTGTTTACTGAGGCGTCTCCACTCTGATTCCCCCAAACCCGAGACCAGGAAAGGGGTGCTACCATCCCCTTCTTTCCTGGCGCCAGTGAGGACAAAAGCCTCAGGGCTGATCCCTCCGGAGGGTAGGGGTGGGAAGGGCTCTTCTGTGACTTAGGAAGCAGCTGCTGTTGTGTCAGGAAGTTGGACAGGGCCAAAGGTGGCCAAGGGGAGTGGGGAAAAAGTCATGGAGGTGGAAGGACTTTGGCTTCCACTGGCTACCTTGAGAGACCCATCTCCTGAGCCTTGGCTCACCAGGAGAGGGCTGGCGTGTGGGGTCAACTTATGGTCCCAGTCAGCCATGGGTTCCCCCCCACCGTGTCCCACCACCAAGGACAGGGCTGTTCTGGACTTCTGTCTGAGGCACCTGTCCCAGGCCACTACAGAGGTGGGAGGGAACAGGAAAAGGCCCAGGGCCAGTGAACAGAGGGGCTCGGAAGGGTGGTTCCTTTCAGGGAAAGGATAGAACAGGGCACCCTGTGAAGGTCAGAGACAAGAGCCCCTTAAACTTGGCCAGCTGAGGGCGTTTGCTTTTCTGCTTTATGTCACTTTTGGCTTCCTGTAGTTCTTAGACTGGAGCGGAATTGAAGGGGTTGAGGGTTTTCTTAGTCCACATTCAGATCAGAGAAGGAAGGGGGTGTTTACTTGTCCTGCAAGAGAGCCCAAGAGGGGTGACAACTCAGAGGGCAGTGCTAGGGGTCATGCCAGCACTCTTGTCCCCGGAGAAGCTTTGTGAAGGGGACCGTCCTCCTTTTTCATCTGTTCTCTCTGGAGCTGTAGGTCTCAAGCTTTACCTATGACCTTAAATCCAACTTCTAGAAAGCCAGAAATTATTGCTTCTCCCATTTACAGACAAAGAAATAGAGGTCTTCTGAGTGCAGTTGCTCACACCTGTAATCCTAGCTACTCGGGAGGCTGAGATCCAGAGGATTGTGGTTTGAGGCCAGCTGGTCAAATAATTCACGACACCCCCATTTTCAAAATAACCAGAGCAAAATGGAATGGAGGCGTGGCTCAAGCAGTAGAGTGCTTGCTTTGCAAGTGCGAAGCCCTGAGTTCAAATCCCAGTCCCACCAAAAAAAGAAAAGAAAAGAAACAGAGGCCAGAGAGGGCAATTACTTGTCCACAGTGACCCAGCCTGAAAGAGGAAGAACTGGACAATGCCCTGAGGTCTGTACTCTGCCCAGCCCTGTACTCCTTGCACCCCTCCACATTGAAGTGCAAGTGTCAGAGGAATGGAGACAAGTCCACGACCCAGGTCTGGCCCTGTAGATTCTGGAGGAAAAAAAACACCCTTGGTCCCTAACCGTGGGATGCAAACAGAATGTTTCCTATGCTGTTAGTTTTTTGGTGAATCTTTGTCCAGCTCTGCCATCTCTGGGCCCCTCACAAAGAACATACAGCTAGCCTGTCCTTCCTGCTTAAAAGAATACAAAAAGCATACTGAAAACAAGCCAGTCATTCCAGAAGTTCTCATTTGCTGGGTAACAAGATGTTATCTGAATATTTATTGTGACCCTGTGGGAAAAAAATCTGTATCCCCATTTTACAGCTGAGGAAACTGACCTTCCAAGAGTGAGCTGCTCCAAGGTCACCCTGAGGTGTAGGAAGCAGCAGAGCTGCACAGAACTGTGTTTGTCCTCGCCCCTTCCTCCTCCCCGTCGGGCTTAGCTCCAAGACCATCCCTGCTGCCAAGAACGGGTTGTTCTGATCAGTAAGTCTCTCTTACAGACGCTGGGGAACGGCTGTGCCCCTGAGGACGTCGTGATCAACCTTGCAGGGCCTGCTGGGCCTCGGGAGTGTGCTGCTGGCCCCTACACGAACATCCAGTGCCTAAACCAGGTGAGGACAGGAGGGCCCCGGGGCTGCCTCCACTTAGCCTGACTCCACCTTCATAACGGAGGAAAGGAGGGAGGGCTCTTCCCTCTGCATCCTGTCCTTCATATCCTCTTTTTTCCTGTCCAGAAAAGCCTTAAATAGCTAGTTGGGAGTGAGCTATTTATATATCCGAGGACAGGGTGGTTTATGCCTATAATCCCAGCTACCCTTGAGGATCATGGTTCAAGGCTATCCTGGGCAAAATGTTAGCAAAATCCCCTCTCGACAAGTAAGCCAGGCATGGTGGTACACGTCTGTAGTCCCAGCTTTGAGGGAGGTCTCAGGTAGGAGGGTTACAGTCTGAAGCCCACTCCTGGGAAGAGCACGAGAGCCTCCCTGAAAACCAAAGCCAAAAAGGGCTGGTGGTGTGGCTCAAGTGATACAGTGCTTGCCTAGCAAGAGTTTGAGGCCCTACATCATTCAAAACTCCAGTACCACCAAAAAACTCCAAAGAGCTAGGAATCCCAGGTTGAGCAGGGGGAGGTGCTGCATTTCTATAATCCCAGAAGTGGGGTGGGGGTGGGGAATTAGGTGGAAGGATTGCAAGGTCAAGGCCAGCTTGGGCTACATAGTGAGTCCCAAGCCAGCCTGGGATACTTAGTGTGACTCAGTCTTTAAAAAAAGAAAAGAAAATGAACTCGAGGCTGGCAGGGTTCTCACAGTAGTGCTTAGGACCTGGCTTGAGAGCAGCAGGGTGTTCTCCCCAGGGAGGGGATGTGAACCAAAACCGGGGGTCTCTGAGAAGACACTGTCAGTTCCCACAGCCCCACAGACAGCACCTGTTAGAAGCAGCTACCTGGAGACCCCAACCCCAGGCTCCGTCTTCAACCTCCACTGTTGTCCTTCCAGACTACCGCAGAAGAGGACACCCCTTTAGCGGCCCCAGAGGAAAGCACGATCATGGGGCCTCCCCCGCAGATGTCTGAGGAGGAACTGGGCTCCTCAGCGTTCATCTCCGTGTAGCTGCACAAACGCCCTCCTCCCCAGCCTGGTGCGTGAAGCTGACTGGCTGTATTTGCATTAACTCTGCCACAGCCTCAGGGTTCATCAGGTCACACTCCAGGGCTCTGCTCCTCCTCCCCAGACTTCCTTCTTCAGGGGCCTGAGTCCCGGGTGGTGGCCTCATAGTTCCCTCTGGAGGCTGGGCCTCCCCAGCATGTTCCCTTCTCTGGGCAGGACCCGTGGCTGTGGACCTTCCAAGGCTAGGCAGGGCTCAGCAGATCTGGGCTCCGTTTGTATCCAAACCAGAAAGTCTCTTGGACCTGAGTCCCCAGCTACAGGTCCTGCCTCCCACTCCCTCCCTGGAATTCTCCTGCATCTGTTGCTGAGGAGGGGACACACAGGGACCACTGGCATCCCAGCCCTTCAGGAAGATGGTTAAAATCTTCCAGGGATTCCTGGGTCCCACTGGGCCCTCGGAAACCATCTCTGGGGCTGGGCCCAGGACTCTGTTTCTGACATGAGTGTCAGCGATTCTTACACCTGAGTTTGAGGACAAGTGGCCTGATAGGCCCTCAGAGTAGCCTCTTTCAGCTTAGAGTCTGCATTTGGAGTGTAGGGGCTCCCTAGAGGGGCTGCTTTATCTTTGACACCATGACCCGGCAGGGGCTTCCTGGGGCCTTCCTGGTCTGGCATGTGCTAAAAATGATCACCAAGGACAGCAGGGCCGGATTTCTGACTTTGGAAGGATGCTGGAGATAAGCGTGACTTCTTCCTGGTCCAGATAAGCTTGGCTTCTTCCTGGTCCAGAAAGGGTTAACGTTCTGTGGGTCCTGGTGACTGACAGGAGTGGGAAGCCAGAGCGCAGTGGATGTCTAAGAGGGAGAGAGGGGACCGAAGATGACCTTGAGTCCAGAAGAAGAGGAAGGGGTAGAGTGGCAGAATGATTTTTTCTCTTTATTCATTTTCTTTTAGAAAATGAAGTGGGGAGATGGCGCTCAATATACAAAAGTAAGACACGTGGGGAGAGAAACCAAGAAGAAAGAAAAAAAGTCACCCACAATCTCATGGCTACCCGGAGACAACCATGATTGCAGATCGCATTCCGCTACATTTCCCAATTTTGTCCTCCACAAACTTTGTGATGTCCTTCTAACAGAGTAATTAACTGCTTTGTATATGAAACTTTGTGTGCTGACTTTCCCATTAGTTACTGATCAGAAGCATTTCTCCATGTTTTACAAACCTTTATAAAGTTTATCAGCTGCATAATATTTCATATCAGTGTGCCTCGATTTATTTAACTGATTATCATTAGAGATTTAATTTGCTTGTATTCTCTATTTTTTTTTTTTTTGATGGTGCTGGGGTTTGAACTCAAGACTTCTCAGTTGCTAGGCAGGTGTCCTATCACTTGAGCCACTCCACCAGCCCTGTTTTGCATTGGGTTTTTTCGAACATAGGGTGTCACAAACTATTTGCCTGGGCTGGCCTTGAAAGCAATCCTCCTGATGTTTGCCTCCTGTAGCTAGGATTCCAGGAGTGAGCCACTGGCGCTCTGCTTGCTTGTATTCTTGTATGATAAGTAACAGCATGGTGAATCTTTGCACAGGGCATTCTCTGCATTTGGATATCTCTTTAAGAAAGATTGCATGTGTGAAAGTGTCAGGTCAGAAGAACTTTTTGTGCGTGTGGCACTGGGTTCGAACTCAGGACCTCCCACATGCTAAGCAAGCACTCTACCACTGAGTGTGTTCTTACCCATTGCTGACCAGCTCTCTGAGTGGCAGCACCAATTTCCCTCTTGTCAGGGCCTTTCTACCTGTATTTCTGCACCTGTCCCTGAGGTTGGGCCAGATATGTAAGACCTGACCTCAGGGGGAAGGGAGCCCCCAGATCTGAGCTCTGGGGGTCCTGGGCACTATTTGTGGTCAGATGTTGGGGAGATAGGGAGCAGTAAGTGGTCTCAGACCCCAAAGCAGACTTCCCTCTTGAAAACCCCTCAGCAGCCACTGCCTGGAAGGAAAGAACTCCCGTCCTCCTGACCTGTCACCCACCATGACCAGGGCTTCCTGGGCACCATGAGGAGGTCTTTTAAGCCATTCCCCACCCACACCTTGATCACGTTCCAACTAAGTGAACTAGCATCTTTAGTGAGGCAGAACTTCTCTTAGGCTCCCTGGGCTGGGCATCCCTGGGATTCTGTGAGGACTTGGCAGACACTTGGGCATCCTTCCTAGACACTCCCCAACTGCCACCATGCCACCAGGATGGCCAGGCCTCCCTCACAAAAAACCACTCCCTGACACCCACACCTACACCTTGCCACACCTTGGTTTGTATCTGTGCACCGAGATACTCAGGTCTGCAATCTTTTGTACATGTATGAACTTCTGAACAATTGACTCAAAAGAAAGACTGCAGTAAGTAAGAGAAAGGGTCGCCAGTGGTGGTGCTTTGACTGAGAAGTAAACTTCAGAAAAAAACTGGGGGAAAAATTAAATATAACAGTGATGCCTAAACTATCCAACATCCTGTTATTAGAGGTAAAAGCCCTAAAACCAAAGTCCCAAGAGATGAGGTTTGACCACTGTCCCAATATGCCATCAAAGAAGGGATGAAAGGCAGAGAAAGAAGATTTCATCAATTTGGTCATAAATTGGGGAGCACAGATAAAGGAGTCAGTGACCCCCAAGTCCATCTTCAAGGAGTTTATAGGAACTTTGAGATTTTATAGAAAAGGGAGGCAAAGAAGGGAGTAGGCGTGCACAACCGTTGATCTTTGCCAGGTCTGTGGTCTAATTGTTATCTCAGTTCTGGGGTTGTTTTTTTTTTGAGGGGGGGTTGCAATACTGGGGCTTGACCCCAGGACCTTGTGCTTCTAAGCAGCTGTCCTGGCACTTGAGTTACACCCTCAGCCCTTTAGTTCTGATTCTGCAAGAGGTTCTGGCAAAGTTGTTATTGCTGTTGCTTGGGGTAGTTTCTATCCCTTATCCTAGGGATGTTTGTATGTTTGTGGAGGTACTGGGATTTGAACTCAGGGACCTCATACTTGCTAGACAGGCACTCTATCACTTAAGTCACACACCCAGCTCTTCTTTGCTTTAGTTATTTTTCAGGTAGGATCTTGCATTTTTACCTGGGCTGGCCTCAGACCACAATCCTCCTCCCTATGACCTCCCAAATAGCTGGGATCACAGGCATGTACCACCACACTAGGTTTATTGATTGAGCTGGGGTCTCACTAACATTTTGCCCAGGCTGGCCTTGAGTGTTGATCCTCCCAACCTTATTATAAGGATGTTTATCACACAGGTCTGTCTCAGGAATCCAAGATAACTGCAGGAGACTCAGGAGGAATAAGTTAAAGGAGCAAAAAATAGAGCCAGAGAGCCAGGTGTGGTAGCTCAGGCTGAAATCCCAACTATTCAGGAGGCAGAGATCAGGAGGATGATAGTTCGAAGCCAACCTGCTTAAAAAGTTAACGAGAACCCCATCTTAACAAAAAAAGCTGATGTAGCTCACACCCATGATCTCAACTACACAGGAGGTGTAGGTAGGAGAATCTTAGTCAAAGTCTGGCCCTAGGAAAAAGCACAAGCCCCTACCTGAAAACTAACTAAAGCAAAAAAAGGCAGGAGGCACAGCTCAAGGGATAAAGTGCTTACCTAGCAAGTCCAAGGCCCTGAATTCAAACCTCAGTGCCATCGATCAATCAATCAATAGACCCAGACAGAATGAAATTAATTAGGCCAGTGACCAATGCCCTCCCTCTCTCCTTTTGTTTCTTTAAAGAAACATGTTGACACTGAAAGGGACAGGAAGTACTGATTTGAGACCCTCCTTCTCTTCCTGACCTCTGAGGAAAATTGGGTGCTGTGATTCTAATCTGTTGAGTTCCTTCAAGAAGAGATTTTGCAAAATCTTTGAGAAGGCAGATGAGGAAGAGACATGTAGGGGGAAAAGAAGCCCAGTGGGGAAGGCAGAAAGCCATTAAGATGTGAAGGGGATGTGATGAGCTTTCAGGGGTCTCCCCAGCAGGAAGGAAGCAGGCTCTGACTGTGACACTGTGAAGCTGTGACAGTGAGTCAGTGCTGGCAGCTCAGGGCTGGGTCTGAGGCTGGGGCCCCCAGGTTTGGTGCAAAGGCAACACCCTCTTCCCATCTATGACCCTTTCTTACTTTTCCCTTTGCCTTTTTAAAATTAAATTTTATTTGTATCATTGTTCATTTTCTTATACCATTCTTTCTCCTTCTATAGTATGGCAGCTATACCCTCTACTTCTAACCTTCAAATTCTTGGGTCCTTAAAAAGACTACAGTAATAGTCATCCCTTGGTACTCAGTACCACCATGAGGGATTGCTTCCAGTACTCCTGTGGACATCAAACTCCACCCATGCTAAGTCCCTTCTGAAGACGACACAGTGCCTGCACCTACCTGTACACAGCCTCCCACGTGCTGCAAGCTGTAAGACCTAAATGTTTGTTACACGATATAGCTTAGGCAGTAAGAAGAAAGTCTGTACATGTTCGGTACACGCTTTGATTATTTTCTCCACACTTTGATTTGCAGTTGGCTGATTTGAGATTATTTAGACCAGGGGTGCAGAACCATGGACACCGAGAGCTGCTTGCACCAGTCTATTCCCTAATCTCTCCTCACACGACACTGGGTCCCTGTGAACTCCCAGCACTCCCCTTGTCTTCCAAGCCATTACTTCCAGTTTTTACTTCTGTCTTTTCTTTTTTTTTTTTTTTTTTTTTTTGGTGCAATCTGAACATTATCATTCATTACTATTTTAGTAGTTTATTAAGGTATGGCTGGAATACAACAAATTGTACATGTTTAGAGTATACTATTTGCTAAGTTTTACATACATAGACATTTGTAAGACAGTTCATCAAGCTAGGGACCATATCCCTCACCCCAAATCGTATCCCTCATCCCAAAAGTTTTCTTCTACTCTTTGTAGACTTGCACCTTCCCACTCTCGCCCCGACTCACCAGTTGATGGAAATTTCCGTTGCTTCCGTTTTGGGCTATCACAAATAGAGTTACTAAACACCCAGGTTCAAGTCTCTGGGTGCTGTCACTTGTCTTGAGTAAATACTTAGGAGAAGATTACCTAGGTCATGGGCTGCGGGTGTAGCTTAGGGCAGCACTTGAAGCAAGGTCCAGGTCATGGGCTGTGTCTCTCAGGGGCTGGGAGAGAATTCTGCTTCCTCCACATCATCACTGGCACCGGAGTCTACCCTATAACTATTCTACTAAGCATATAAAGTGGCCCAAAACTATAGCTTTAATCTATATTTTCCCCATGACCAATGGCCTTGGTCATCTCTTCATGTATACATTTGCCATCCACACATCTTCTTTGTTGAAATTTTTATTCAAATCATTTGCCTATTTTTATTGAATTTTGAGCTTTACGTATTCTGGAAGTAACCCTATGAAATAAGATTTTTTTGAATATGTTCTCCCACTGTGTGGCCTATCCATTCTTATAACAACTTTCGGGGAGCAGAAGCTTCAACTTTTGATGGTGTTCAATTTGTCAATTTTATTTTCTTCTATAGATCATGGTTTTGGTTTTGGTGTTGTACTTGAGAAATCTTGGTGTAATTCAAGAGCACAAAGATATTCTCGCATATTTTCTTCTAGAAGTTTAATAGTGTATGGTTTTACATTAAGAACTATGATTGACCTTTAGTTAATTTTCATACATGTGAAGATGTGACTAAGATTATTCTTTTTCAAGTTTGTGCACAGATCTCCAACTGTTCCAGCACCTTTTGTTGAAAAAAATGTACTATCCTTCCTCTGCTGAATTGTCACTGTATTTCTCTGAAATCAGTCCTTCGTACTAGTGTGGATTTATTCTAGATTCTTCTCCTTTGATCTACTGAACTATTTATCTTTATGCCAAAACCATACTGTCTTGGTTACTATAGCTTTAGAATATGTGTGGAAATCAAGTCGCATAAAGCATAAAAATCTCTAAATAATTAAAGCTGTAATAAATGGCAATTGGATTGGAATAAGTTAGATAGCTTCTGCCATTGTTCCTTGTGTGGACTGTCTCTGTTTCTCCCAGAGGTCTTTGGTCCCCACCAAACCCAGCCTCAAGGAGGTAGGGCCAATGGGGGACTCCCAGGTAAGCTGTAGACCACTGGTGCCTTCAAGCAGCTAGGAAGCATAGATCTCTTGAAGAGCTGAATCTGGAGGTGACAAAGTATCCCATACTCTCCCTTATGACTCCCCCACCCTTTTTTTTTTTTTTGGTGGCACTGGGACTTGAACTCAGGGCCTCACACTTGCTAGACAGGCACTCTACCACTTGAGCCACTCCACCAGCCCTTTTTTTGTACTGAGTGTTTTAAAGATAAGGTCTTGTGAACTACTTGCCTGAACTATTTGCCTAGAACAACAGATCTCCTGATCTCTGCCTCCTGAGTAACTAGGATTACAGGCCTGAGCCACCAGCACCCAGCATGACTCCCCTTCTTGACCCATGTTCCTGACCCAAAATAGCCTTCTTCTCCAAACACACACACAACCCCGCAAGCCAGTCAATCCATCTCTGGCGGGGGGGGGGAGCAGCCTCAGACCGGGAGCCAGGAGGCCTAGGGTCTACTCCCAACTCCATCAATCAACTTTTTATAGAACAACAGACAAAACCTTCACCTCCATAGAGTCCCAAGTACAACATGGTAAGGAGTCATTCTGCTGAACTAACCACGTTACTGCAGGAAAGGAATTTTATAAACCAAAACAAACTGGGAACAGAATTCCTTTTAGAAATTCAACTGTCTTTATTTACAAAAATACCTCAGTGTCAACTGGAGATTAAAAGAAATTTCCTGTATCGCAAGGGGATGGCAAAAATGGACAAACAGTGGCCTGCAAACTTGGTTATTCATCTGAATCACTTGGGGAGCTTTTAATACAAACCACTTCCCAGCCTCCACTCTCAGGCCCACAGAGATGTGATCCTGTTTCCTCTTCCTGAGCACAAAGGAAGGCTGCATTTCTCAGCCTTAGTCACCTGGGCCAGGTGACTAGGTTCTAACCTGGGGAAGTGGGCAGACAGGGCTAGCCCATAAGATCAGCCAGCAGTGTTCTACATTCTACTCCTCTTCAATGACACTCATACTCACTAAAGATGACAAGTGTCACAAAACATGAATAATAAAGCTGGACATGGTGGCTCATGCCTGTAATCCCAGCTACTTGGGAGTCAAAGACGGGAGGATCGCGGTTCAAGGACAGCCAGAGGAAAACAAAATAAAAAGAGCATAACTCAACGGGTAGAGAACTTATCTAGCAAGCCTGAGGCCCAGGGTTCAATCTCTACTTAATAATAATAGTAAGTATGAAGTTGCTGAGATGGGCTTGTTACAATAGTTAGCCACTCCTGCACTTCTGATTTAACTGATGTGGAATGAGGTTCAGGTAATCATCTGTATTTTAACAGCCCAGGTGATTCTTACGTACAACCAGAGCTGAGAACCACTGGATTAGGACAGAAATATGAGAGAACGCAGAGTTGCTAGGTAGAGAAATATTGAGTTTGCAAGGGTGCCCCAGGAGATGGGAGTCATCAGGAATACAAGAAAGGGAGAGGGCCCAGCAACAAACTGGCAGATGGGCACCCAAAATGAAAAAATTGACCAGGAAGAAATTCTTTGTGCTGGGAAGGGTAGGAGGCACTTCAGAAGAGGAGTGTCATAATCAGTGCTACATTTCCTTCAAGCTGTGAGGTGTTGATGTAAGCCCCTACTCTGCCCCAAATCACCAGCCAAGTGGGTCCTCCGCTCCTTGCTCATCCCTGAGTGCCTGGTGCTTTGGGCCAATGCAATGAAGAGGGCTGGGTCCACTTCATTGACCATGGCAGAGACAGGGACAGCCTAAGCCCCTGGTGAGAATCTGCCGTGTCACTGAAGGAGCTCTGTGAAGAACTCCAGGTAGGAAGGAGTACTGACCCCTAACACTGACAAATTTGCCCACACTCATCTGTGGTGGCATCTGAATGACACTGCCATTTTTCTTTCTTTCTTTCCTTCTTTCTTTAACAGTGCTGGCAATGGGATGACATTTTGATGTCATCTATTGACCCCAGTATTGAGCACCTGTGACTAATCCTAGCTTATCACTGGGAGAGCCCATGGCACCTTTATAAAGGATAAACCTGAGGCCCAGATTGGTCACAGAACCTGCTGAAGGCCATACAAGTTCCAGGAGGAGCCACTTGGATCAGCCATAGAGTCTGAATCCTTTGGCTCCCTGAATGCTCTCAGGCCCCCAGGCACACATTTAAAAGTGTGTCCACTAGGGATGGACGGAGAATATGGAGGGGGTGGACAGGGACATTACAGAACACTAGTCATGTCATTCCACCTTCCATTCTAGGGTCATCTGTGCTGTGCTCCCCACCCTCACCTTCTCCAAAAGCAATCCACTCAACCCAAACCACACACAGAGCCCAGAGTATTTGCTTTCACATTTAATCAAAGGAAAAGAAAGAAAACCGGAGATAAAACTCGAGATTGGATGGCAGAGAGGGGGAAAGAAAGGAAGAACTGGGCTGCAGCTGAGTGTGGTACATAAGGGGTGTGTCCTCATTCTCCTGATGTTCCCCAAATACAAGAGTCCACAGTGGGAGGCAAGAGAACAGTCCCACAGCTAGCTTCATGGCACACACCTGTTCCAACCCAGCCCTATGCCAGATGAGCCCAGGACACTCCCAGCCTCTGCTCCCATCAGACAGGTGCATGGAGCAGACTCAGCAGGGAAGGGAGGAAGCTGTTCAGAGTGGACAGGCCAGGTCCTGCCTCTTGGGATCAGGTGTGGGGACTGCCACAGCACTGGAGATCCACAGAAAGGGCTGGCACAGCATGCCACAAGCCTTCACAAGTATCTCAGGAGAGGTGGGAACTGGTAAATAACTCCATGGCCTCAAGCAGGCAGGAAAGTATCCCGCTTTCCTTCCACTCCCTGTGGAAGGAGTGCTGAACCAAGGATAAGAACACTGACACCAGGGTAAATAAAATAAAGATGCCTATACAAATGAGACAGGAGCAGACTTGACCTCTGCATCCCACTTGCACATCCTATGCAAATGAGATTCCTAATATAATAAATATATTCTAACATTTGTAATAAATATTCTGTTTATTCTCCCTCCCCTTCCCTAGGAAATGGGCACAGTGGTTCAGGGGCCAGCTTTGGCTGACACTGCAGCGAAAATTGGACACTCAGAAGAACAGGACAATGGGGATCAGGAGTCCTCGAGGTCCTGTGAGGTCAGGCTCACCTTAGGAAGGGCCTGGGGGATGTCTAGGACAGGATTCTTTCCTTAAAAGGGATTCTCCTATTTTACAAAACTGTTTTTCCCCAGGACTGGAGGGCGGCCTTTAGGTTAGAGGACAGTAAGAGTGGAGGAAGACATCTGGGGAGGGCCAAAGACATGGAGGCCGAGATAAGGGTCTTGCTAGAAATGGGGGCTGATAGGGAGCCCAAATAAATAGGCCCCAAAGAGTAACCTGTGAAATAAAACAACCCTTTACCTCCCTTTCTAAAAAGCAAGCCTGACACATACCCACACTGGGGCCAGAAACACAGACCAGCACCACAGCAGGCAGGGCCTCAGGCTGCCCAGTGTGGAGTGTCAGTGGTGCCCCCTGGGGTGGTGCAGGAGGCTGCCAGAGTGTGCCCTCAGTATCCAAGCTGGTGCTCACAGATCCCCTCAACACCTGGACCCTGATGCAAGTGGGCCCCCTGGACCTGGCCAGGGAGGCTGAAGTAGACAAAGCTCATGGACAGGGAGAACAATGTGTCCCCACCATGGGCCATGGAACCTGAGCACGGGGCTCAGCATTCCAACCCTTCACACCTGCCAGCCTTGGCCTTTGGGGAATAGGGCTGACCTGCCAGGGGCACATGGGAGAAGTCTGTGGAGAGACTTCGGCAGTGAGAAGCTACGTGCGTTGTGGGGGGTCTGCTGCCCACGTGTGGCAACTGGCTCATGGTTTGGCTCCTCCAACCTCCAGATGGCCCAGGCTGGCACCACTGCCCAGCTCTACCTGGCTGCCAGTGGGCCATGTACTCCCCTGGCCACATGGGAACAGCCCAAGGCCTGCTCCTAGGGGTAAGAGGTGGGAGCCTGGGAATGGGGTTGGAGTGGCCTGTCCAGATGAGAAAGGTGGCTGGGGACAGGGGCAGAGGGTTGAGTACCTACTGACCATGGGGTCCTCAAACAGCTTTGCTCATCTGGACTAAGCATTATTGGGGGGGGGGGCTGTGACTCTGACATACTCCTGGGAACAGCCTGTCCCTTACAGAGGGACATCTGGTGGCCAATGGACTTGGGAGCGGGCAGCACCTGAGCACAGAGGTGCCCCATGAATACCCGCCTCCCTGGCAGTGCGCACCTCTGCGCTGAAGCCAGCTTAGGGCCTGCTGGGAGCAGCTACCCAGGGAAAGCCAGAGATGTGGCTGAAGATTGTGGCTGGGGGTCACAGGTAGGGAAGGGGATGGATTCAGGTTGTGAGTTATAACCCAGTGGAGAACGAGGTCCAGATGAAGAGGCTCAGTACACCCAGCTGACAGGCACCCACTGGGGCTCGGTCCGCAGCTTCTCCATGGCGGCCTGGAGTTCGCGGAAGGTCCTCTCCAGGTTGCTATTGACCAGGCTGAGGTCAAAGTAATGCCCGTAGCCCCTCTGGATGCGGCTGCTCTCCTCCACTGTCCGTCTCAGATCCGCCTCCTGCTCAGCACAACAGGGTCTCTCATTGGTCAGTGCCCACAATTCACCCCTGTCGTTGAGGGATCTACAATCCCCCAAACCTGAGGATTTTGGGGATCTACCTCCCCAAAATCTGATCACAGTGGTAGAGATGCCATGGCCAGGGAGGTAGGAGTCCCTCCCTGTATACCCCAAGGCAGCCTCCTGAAACCATGGTCAGATGGATGGAAGTATGGAAGGAAATAAGCTGTAGTAAGAGCCAGCCCACAGACTCTTCCCTAGTGGAACAGGGTCTCTCTCCCAAGACAGTGCTCTCCAGGAGAGGTGGTACCAGAACACACCTGGTGCCATGGCAACCCACAAGTGCCCAGAGCAACCCCCACCCCAGACCCAGTGGAAGCTGGTGTGGTAGGGATGGGAAAGGGACCTTGACAACTGACTTAAGTAGCACCCCTGCCACTTTGGTCAGCTGGGCTTCTTTCCAGGGAGGAGGTGCCCAGAGCAAGGATTAGGCAAAGACCCAGAGCTCCTTCAGGGAGCCATCAGCCAGAGGCAGCCTAACCCAGACAGCCTCTGCAAGGCCTGAGCAGTGCTCAGACCTCACACTTAAGAGCTGCAGTAGCAGGTGTGGCCAGCAGAGGGTCCCCTGAGCTCAGAGCTCTGTAAACTCTACCCCTCCTGGAAAGGTCACACTCTGACTAGAGTAAGGTAGGGGGCTGGAAGGAGTGAAGTGAAGCCTCTCCTCCAGGTTCTCCCAGCTCCCAGAAGCCACCTTCTACTCTGGCATCCTCCCTCCTTTCAGTCTTCCCCCAGCTGTAAGCAAGCCCAAGTTTATGGAACAACCTCAGCCCACCTCTGCCCCACAGATCTTTCACTGGCTCTCTGGAGCCTCCTTCGGCCAGCACTCGGTCTCTGCAGAGTAGATGGAGCAGTGGGCCTGGAGTAGAAGCTCCTGTGTCCCCAGGTTATCTAGCTCACTCTGAGACTTTGGGCACTTCACTTCCTATCTCAGGCCTCCCTTTCCGCATCTACAAATCAGGAATCAAAAATCCCACCTCAAGGGCTAGGGATGTGATTCAGTGGTAGAGAGCTTGCCTAGCAAGCTCAAGGTCCTGAGTTACACCCCTAGTACCACACACACACACACACACATCAATATTTAAAAAACTTAATCTTATGCCAGGTATGGTGGCCAGTAATCCTAGCACTTGGAACTCTGGGGCAGGAGGACCACATGTTCAAAGTCAGCCTGGGATACACAGCAAGACCCTGTCTCAACGAACAGAACAAAACAAAGTTCTACCTCACTGACAACTTCAGTGGGTACCATCTTTCTTTGCATCTTCTCAAGTCTGTCCCCCACTGCCCCAGGCAGCCATCAGCCCCCTCCCCCCAGCACAGAACCTTACCGTGAGCTGCTTGGTGGACGCTCCACTCTCCAGGGCAGCCCTGTTCATGGCCCGCAGGGTCTCAAAGTCAGGAGCCTCAATGAACACCACATAAGGGACAAACTCGGCTGTCCTCAGCACCTTCACAGCCTGTAGGAGAAAGGAGGGTGGGGAGTACATCCCCACAAATGTTCTGGGAACAGGAAGACCATCCAGGTGATAGGGTGGACACCTGGGATTCTGGGACGTGAGTCCTGGGGATGAATTATAGACTGGTGGGGGCAGGAATCAGGTAGTGGGGTAGGGGAGGCTTGGAGGCTGAGAAAGGTGTTTTGAGTGGCTGGGTCCTTAGCAATAGTTAAGGGGTGCATGGGGTTGCTCAGGAGACAAACACCTGGAGATATGTAGAGAAGTCCTGAGGGGAGCAGAGTGCTCAGAAGGAGCAGGTCAGGTGATACCTGGGGGTTGACATCCAGCACGCACACCTTGCCGGCAGCGACCACACCCCGGATGGAGTCAATTCGTGTGCCATACAGGTTGCCCTCATACTCGCCATGTTCCAGGTAGCGCCCAGCACGGATATCAGCCTCCATCTCCCCACGGGACACAAAGCTATAGCCTTGGCCTTCCCGCTCCGAGTCCTTGGGCCTCCGGGATGTGTCTGAGGAGAGGAAGGGCCAAATGGTCATGGGCAGGCCACGCCACCTCAAATACAGGTGCACATGTTCTCCATGAGTTCCATGTTCTCAACCTCGGGTATATCCTGCCTTCCACCTTCCCAGCACAGTGGGCTTCACACACACTTGCCACCTTCACCACTGGTGTGCATGTACACACACACACACACACACACACACAGAGGACATCTGTGCTGGAAGGACCTTCAGCGAGCACCTAGTCCAATTCTGACTGTGTTAATGGATGGATGGATAGCTGAGACCCAGAAAAGGCAATGTAGAGCCCAAAATCACCCAGCAAGGGCCAAGGCACTCTCATGCCTGCCTCAAGGAGCCAGAGATTTTCACCATCACTGTCACCCACCCTCTACTGGTCCCATTACTTGGGCCCTGTCCACCACCAGGCCAAACACACAGCCATAGCCTTCTTTGATCCGAGGCTGGGCATTTACTTTTTTCATGGTCATTAGCTATCAAAACATGAGAGAAAGACAGGTGAGTCCAGCCCAGGCTACTTGGTCCTGAGCCTGCGGTTCTCCCTCTCCCACCGACAGGGGGTGAACACCCCACAGTTCACACTCTGACCTGGTGCTCCTATGCCCCTGCCTCCGACCCCACCCAGCAGGGCCCAGCCCCCACTCACAGGGCACCGTGGTGCCATAGCGGTCCGGATCCCACATGATGAGCTTGTTCTTCAGGCTGCGCCGGCCCACACCCTGCGCCCCGATCAGCACCAGGGTTTTCCGGCGGAACGGGGGCATACGGGCCACCTCTTCATAAATGAGCAGCTCGTGGCGGTCAAACTCTGCACACAGGGAGATGGCATTGCTCATCAGGCTGCATGATGGGGAGGAACAGAGCACTCAGGGAGGTTAAGATAAAAAGGCTTGGGACCAGGGGAGCAGAGAAGACCTCAGCAGAGCCTAGGAACATGGCTGGCTTGGTGTCCAAGCCAGGAAAGCATTTTGGTCACTGCAGCAGAGCAAGGGGGCATGCCATGTTAGAGTAGGATGGGGAGGGGCTCTAATACCCACCTGCATTCTTGGTAGTCAAATACATCATTCGCTTCTTTTTCTTTCCTGAAAGGCTGCCACACAGGGTCCCTGGCCACAGGGAGATGGGTGAGTAAGGCCAACAGAGCCATGCCAGATCCCAAATTTGGGTCCGGGGTGATGGAAGGGGCTCCTACCTGAGGTTGGTGTCAGCTCCAGGTCCCGCTTTACAAATGCCTTCCGCTTCTCCTCCAGCAGCTGGCTGGGGATGAGCCCAGCACTGCCCCCTTCCACATGGCATGCCTGAAATGAACGTGAGCCAAAGAGCTGCCTGAGTGAGTGAACACATCCTTGCGCCCTCACCTTCCCCCACACCATACCAGGAGACGCTGCAGACATACCCAGGGCTCACCTGCCACCAGTTGGCATCATCCTGGTTTACAATCTGAAGCAAGTCTCCAGCACTGAAGCGCAGACCTGCTTCCTTGCAGGGGATGAGGCTGTCTCGGGCCGGGTCATAGTCGAAGTGGCATTTAACAAATACCTGGTCCCAGGAATTGTCGAAGGGTCAAGAGAAGGAATAGAAGGAGGGTGAATGGCATACAGTCCACTTCCTGCCCTTCCCTCTCTGGAGAGGCCCAGGAGCTGCCCTCTAGAGGACCAATGCCTCCAGGCCTGCCCAACCTTCCTTCCTGGTTCCTGCTTTCCTTGGCATCCAGAACCAAGAGACTCAGATTGAGCAATGGGGACGCTGCTCAGGGCTGGGACAGACCTCAAGACTGAGGAGGAAGGGACACCCAGGTAGAGGACCTGGCACCTAACTGTATGCCTCCCTCCATCCACCCCTTCTGGAGGACAGAGCTGGGAAGAGAGAGCTTGGGTAGTGGAAGCAGAATAGCCCGACCTCCACAGGCCACCAACCAGGAGACAAGGAACGTAAAACCCCAACCTCCACAGGCACACTTGCATGTGTGCAAAGACCACTGCACGTGACCCACTCACTGTACTTAGATAGGAACCCCAGAGGGAGGATGGGTACAAGTCCCTTGCACATGCGCACAAGTGCCTAAGCATACTGCAGGGACAATAAGGCAGGCAAATGTGCAAGTGCATATGCAACACACAGAGACTTCCTGGCTGTGACAGGCTGCTCCCAGCAGACAGGTCCCATGGTCTGGTTTGTCACAAGCAAAGAGGGACTCCAGGAGAAGAGGAGCTTCTTCAGGACACCTATGGCCCTGGCCTCTGGGAGGCTCAGCCATCCCTTGGGCCTTGTGCTGGGTGGAGGGGGTAGGCAGAATGGCCCACCTGGCGGGGTAGATGGGGCTCCTGGTAACTGGGAAGGACCTTGAGGATGACGCTGCCGCTGGCACTGCGCAAAAGCTCCTGCAGCGCCCGGGGGTCACTGCCCACCGGCTGTCCATTCACCTCCTTGATGATGTCACCCACGTGCAGCAGGCCTTGCTGAGCCACCATGCCCCCATGCAGAATGCGGGCAATTACCAACTCCCCGCCTTCCACGCGGAATGTCACGCCCTGAGGGACAGAACAGTGTACAATGAAGTGGGTCAGTCTTGGGTCTCCTAATGGGCTCTCCATTCCTGTTCCCACCCACCCACTGCAGCCCCAATTCCTCTGCCCCAATTCTTCATTTACGCAAGGCACTAGTGGGGTGGGGAGGGTAAGAGCTCTCAGCCTGGAGAGTTCCTGACCCATGTGTAAGCAACTCCGATGGTCTTGGTCTGCACAGGCCCTTCCCTGGGCAAAACTGAGCCCATTTGCACTTCATCCCTCTCCTGACCTTTCTCATGCCCCATTGGTTACTCTTCATCTCCTGCCCCACCTCTGACCCAGCCTGGCACCTCACCAGATGCTCTCCGGCTGTCTTGCGGATGCCCACCATGCGCACAGCGTCAGGAGGTACGGGTTGGTTGCTAAATGTGGGGTCCAGGCCAGGGCTAGGGGGTGGTGTCTCATAGGTCTTTGAGGCCACTGAGTCGTGAGTCTCCAGGAGGGACTGAGAACGTGGTGGTAAGAGGAGCGACAATAAGGCGGTGCCCTATGGTCTCTTTCCAGCCCAGTTCAACTTCCTGCTCGCCCCGCCCCCCCGCCCCCGCCCCCGCCCCCGCCCCCGCCCCCGTCCCCGTCCCAGCAGCATGCTCCTCCCACTCCCTCTTCCAGCCCCAGCAGCCAGGAACCTGGAAGTGGGGCTCCTGGAGGATGCGCGCCAGCTCTGCGGCAGTGCTGCTCTGCTCAGCCAGCTGCGCCAGGTCCCGCAGGATCTCCTGCACCAGCTCCAGGTTGTTGTCCCGCACGGCTTCCAGCTTGGTCTCCTCCAGCCGCTCGTGGGCCTGGGGGTTGGCGGAAAGACAGGTAAGGCTGGCCACTTCCCAGGAACCCTGAGATAAGACCCAGGGCCCTTCCCCCAGGCCCCCACCTCCCATCCCCTTCCCAGCTCCCAGCACCAAATATGGACTTTAAGCCCCACCCACAGCATTGCTTCACGTGTCAGCTTCAGCTCCTCGCTCACTGGCACACAAACATGTTCACAGGTATGTGTACGCGTACCTTTATCCTTTTCCCCTAAAATAATTAGGACCTAGTTTAGAGAAGGGAGATCCAAAGGACAAACTTTTATTTCCATCCCACTTGTCTTAGAGAGTCATGGAAAACTATCAAACTGCCCCTAGCTCCCATGATCCTGTATCTGAGTTCAACTTCTTCCACCCAAGGTCATGGTTGGGTGGGACCTTGGAGACCCTGTAGCCCAAAATGAGGAAGCCAAGGAGGGGAAGTAACTCTCCTAAGGCCAAAGAGACTTGGACTTAGGAATCTCCACACCCTTAGCCCAATACTTGCTGTGAGGGAGGGCACCTAACTCAGTACATGGTGCCAGGGGAGGACCCTGTACCTGCCTGTTCCCCTACTGACGCTGGGCTCTGTGACAAGGTGCTCTAAAAGAGAAAAAGAAACCTTCCCTGGTGCCAGCCAGTGAAGCGAGTATGCTCAGTAACTAGGCAGTGGGATATACATGACGGGCAGTTTTCTCCCTCTGAATCTTTTGAAAGACAGCTGCAGACACAGGTCACTTCGCCCCAAGACACTTCAGCCATTTTGCTCCATAAGCCATAATACCATTAGCACACACAAGAAATTTAATGTTGATATGTTCTCAGCCAATAATCAACATTCAAATGATCACTATTATCCCCAAAATATCCTTTATAGTTTCATTTTTTAGATCCAGGATCTAATCAAAGATCATGTGTTACGTTTGGTCATCACATCTTTTTATTCTCCTTAAATCTAGAACAAATCTCAATAGCTTTCAGACTTTCAGGACATTCGTAAAGGGTCTATGCTAGTAGTTTTGAGACTATCCCACAACTGGATTTATCTGACTGTTTCTACATTATTAGTCTTAGACTAATTTTTTTTTCCTTCTAGGGTTTGAACTCACTTCCTCAGGGTTGCTAGGCAAGTACTCATCACTTGAGGCATATCACCACAGACTAATTTTATAGGAGTTCAACAGTGCCCTGTGTCCTTCTCATATTTGGACACTGTGTGACTATCCTGTTCACAAGAATCCTTCAGCAGAGGGCTGGCATTCATTTATGACCTTTACCTGAATCAGTTATTTTATTGAGAGCTGCAAAATTGTCATCATCCAATTTCTGCATTTTTAATTGGCATTCCACCATAAGAAAGAGCTTTTCCTGGGCCGGTGGAGTGGCTCAAGTGGTAGAGTGCCTGCCTAGCAAGTGTGAGGTTCTGAGTTCAAACCCCAGTACCACCAAAAAAAAGAGTAGAAAGAGCTTTTCCTCCTTCCCTCCCTCTCACCCTGCTTTCTCCCCATCTCTGGGTCTCACTATGGATTTTTTGTATTCACTGTGTTCTAGTCTGTTACCCTCACTCTTCATTGGCTCATTTCATCCTGAATTTGTCCCAGGGAACCCATTCATGCCTGGGCCCTATTGACATGTTCCATCGGCCCTAAACCCCTTCCATTCAGCATCGGCTCACCTTATACTTTCCCTAACCCAGGTCTAGAATCAGCAATTTACCCATGGAACCCTGGACCCCTTTGGCAGGGAATAGGATATAGAAACCAAGATCCGGGCACTCAGTACTCACTGCTTCTCAGGTGTCATTGCTTTGATAGACATTAGTCAATATTAATAGTTCTAATTCAAATCAAACTCTCCACGATTTTCCTCATCTCTCCCATTCCATATTTGCAGCTCCTTTCTCCTTTTGGAACTTATTTCCTAGTCATAGTGATATCCTCTGTTCTTCAAAAGTTAAGAAAGTTTCAGAATTGCCTTTTAAGTAAGTAAATCTACTCTAAAAATCAAGGTAGATGCCTTTGTCCTCAGAATATTAATGTCTAAAAGAAACTTATAACATTAATGGAGATCCCTGCATCTCTGCTGTCCAATATGGCAGCCACTAGCCACATGTAGCTAGTGTACAGTGGGGCTGCTATAACTGAAGAACTGAACTTTTATTTTTTTCTTTTTTTTTTTTTTTGTGGCATTGGGGTTTGAGCTCAGGGACTCGACTCACACTTGCTAGGCAGGCACTCTACCACTTGAGCCACTCCGCCAGCTCCTTTTTGTGTTGGGTGTTCTCAAGAAAGGGTCTCACAAACTATTTGCCCAGGCTGGCCTCAAACTGCAATCCTCCTGATCTCTGCCTCCCAGGGAACTAGGATTACAGGCACCCTGCTGAGTTTTTTATTTTATTTAAGCATTTTAGCTTCTTTAAGTATTGTCTTAGTCCATTTTTGCTCCTATAACAAACAAACAAAACAAACAAACACCTGAGGCTAAGGTCAGGGATATAGCCCAGTGATAGAGCAAGGGCTTATTGTGTTTAAGGACCTAGGTTAATTCCCTAGTATCACCAAAAACAAAAAAAAAAAAGCTCCAAGACTGAGTAATTTGTAAATGATAGAAATTTATTTCTTACAATGCTGAAGGCTGGGTAGTCCAAGAGCAAGTTCCTGAGTTCAGTGTCTGGGGAGGGCTGTCTTGCTGTGTCCTCACAGGGCAGAAGGCCAGAGGGGCCCTGCTAGTTCTCACCAGCCCCTTTGTAAGGCTGCTAATCCCCACGACAGCTCCGCTCTCAAGGCCAAGACCGCACCCATCTCCTAACACTGTTGCACTGGGGAATCAATTTCAACATGAATTGTGGAGGGGACACAAATACTCAAACCATAGTAAGGTTTTTCATTATGTAAATAGCGGCATCTGGATTGTGGTTGCTGTAGGAAATAATAACCCTGACCTTAGACTATATCCCACGAGTATTGTGAGCATAAGTTACTTGAATTCCTTTTTCTGTATGATTAGTACAAGATGCACTCATCTGCACTTAATTTGAGGCTTTGCTTTTTTTTTTTTTTTTTTTGATGTTATGGGGTTTGAACTCAGGACCTTGAGCATGCTAGGCAGGGGCTCTACCATGTGAGCCAGGTCTCCAGCCTTTTTGGTTTAGTTATCTTTTGGATAGGGTCTCATGTCCAGGCTGGCCTAGACCCCAATCCTCTTATTTATGCTCCTGTGCACCACCATGCACAGCTTTTTGTTAGGTGAAGTGAGGTCTGATGAATTTTTTGCCCAGGGTGGCCTCGAATCATGATCCTCCAGATCTCCACCACCCAAGTAGCTAGGAGTACATGCATGAGTCTCTGCACCTGGCTTATCATTTTTAATTGTGTTTTTAAAAAATGTACAATGCTTACAAAGTTCAAATCTATATGAAGAGTAAACTCAAAGAAGTTTCAATTGCATCCTCATCCCTTCTACTCTACTCATCCCTAAGCCCTAAAGGTAGTCATTTCTATTATTTTATGATTTATTTAATTCTTTCCACAAAAGTAAATACATGCCTTTCTGTTTTGTTTGAGGGTTTGTCTTGTTTGGTTTTTTTGAGACAGGGTATTGCTATGTAGCCCAAGCTGGTCTTGAATTCATCCATCCTCCTGCCTCAGTCTCCTCAGTGCTGGGACTAAAGGCATGTACCACCATACCCAGCTTATTACTTGTCTGTCTCTGTTCAATAAAAAAAAGAGAACGCTGTATACAATCTTTTTTTTTTTCTTTGAGACAGTTCTTGTGATATAGTCCAGACTGGCCTTGACCTCACAATCCTCCTGCCTCAGCCTCCGGAGTGCTGCGATTACAAGGTGTATGCCGCCATCCCCAGCTATAGGAAATCTTTGACACCTGGGACTTTTGTTCGTTTAAGTCTGCTTCTTTATGTAACACTATACCCTAGAAATCACTCCATGCTACTAAATGGAGATCTATTATTTTTTTAATTACTTCATTTGACTCTATTGCATGCATGACTGGAGTTCTATGATTTAACTAGTCTTTGTGTTTCGGTTGTTTTAATGTTTTGCTACTGCAAATAAGGCAGTGGTGAATAACATCAGCACAGTGTTTGGGATCCAGTGGAGATCTGTGTGACTTCCCAGAAGGCTCACTAGGTCAAGCAGTAAATACATGTGTGGTTTTCTTAGATACCAACAAACTCCCCTCCGTGGGGTGGTGACTGATCACCCTCCCACCAGCACCGTGGGAGAGGTTTTCCTGAAGCTCGTCATGGGTGCCAATCAAACCTCTGAATGCCTGCCAATCCAACGGATGAGGAATGATTTTCAACGGGGTTCATTTGCATTTTGCTTATTATGAGAAGGCAAGCGTCCCCTCATCTGTATGTCTGTTTCTGTGAACTGTCTGTTCATAAGAATTGTTTGATTTTCTTCTCCTTTTCTCACTTTAAAATGTTCTTTCTCTATTGGCATGATTAGCCCTTTATTTGTGGTATCTCTTGTAAATCATTTGCTTCTAGTTTGTCATTGGTCTTTTGATTGTGCTGGTGGTGTTTTTGCCATGCATAAAAATTAATGTGGTTAAACCTATTAATTTTTCATGCACCAGAATTTTGAGGCCTGAGAGGCTTTCCCGCAGGCACAGACCTGTGTTTTCTTCTAAGACGTGAATCGCCACATTCTCTGATCTGCCTGGAGTGTACTCTGATGTGTGGGGTGAGGTATGGATCCACTTTGATATCTTTCAAAATGGCTATCTACATGTCCCAATGTTTATTAAAACTCCATAAGAAAGTCATTGCTTAACTTTTTTAAGTGTAGTAGTTTTTTGTTTTTGGCAATACTGCGTTTGAACTCAGGGTCTCAAACTTGCTAGGTAGGTGCTCTACCACTTGAGCCACTCCACCAGTCCTTTTTTCTTTCAGTTATTTTTCAGGTCAGGCCTCTTGTTTTTTGCCCAGGGCTAGCCTCAGACCACAATCCTTCTACCTCTGCCCCCCACATGGC